TGAAGATTTGTACATGGCAAATAAGTACATGAGAAGATCTTAACACTAGCTATTAGGAAAATTTCAAAACACATGAGTTACAACTTCACACTTATCAGAATTTCTAAAATAGTGACATTACTGAATGCTGGTGAGGATACAAAGAAACTGGATTAGTTCTACATTACTAGTAGGACTACAAAGTAGTATAGCTATTCCGGAAAACAGTTTGGCAGTTAATAACTGGGACTGGTATTGTCATAGCAGGTTAAGCCTCTGCCTGTGATGCCACCATCGAACGTGGGTGTCTGTTTGATACTTCACTGTTCCATGTCCCATCTAGCTCCCTGCTAATGTGCCTGGGAATATAGTGGAGGATGGACAAAATACTTGGGCCCTAGCACCCTCATGGGAGACCCGGAAGAATCTCTAGGCTCCTGGCTTCAGCCTGGGCCAGTCCTAGTCATTCTAGCCACTTGAGGAGTGAACCAGTGAATAGGAGATCTCTCTCTTCCTCTTTCTCTCTTCCCCTGTCTGTTACTCTCTTTCAAATAAATAAAACAACTTTTAAAAGATAATAATGGGAATTTAAAACTGTACACATACCATATAACGCTTCAACCACAGTCTTGGAAATTTATCCAATAGAAAGTAAATCTTGGGCCTATGCTGTGGTGCAGTAGGCTAAACCTCTGCTTGTGGGGTCAGCATCCCATATGGGTGCCAGTTTATGTCCCTGCTGCTTCTATTCCAATCCAACTCTCTGCTATGGCCTGGGAAAGCAGTAGAAGTTGGCCCAATTCCTTGGGCTTGTGCCACTTGCATGAGAAACCCAGAAGAAGCTCCTGCGTTCTGGCTTCAAATGGCCCAGCTACAGCCTCTACAGTCAAGTAGGGAGTGAACCAGTGGATGGGAGACCTTTCTCTCTGTCTCAACCTCCCAAATTAAAAAAACAAACAAAACATAGTGAAAACTTAGGGGTTGGTGTTGTGGCACAGCAGGTTAAGCTACCACTTATGATGTCTGCATTTCACATCAGAGTTCTGGTTCAAATCTAGCTACTCTGCTTCCAGTCCAACTTCTAATGCTCCTGGGAAAGCAACAGGGCCCCTCCCACTCAAGTGGGAGACCCAGATGGAATTTGAGGCTCCTGGCCCTGTACTGGCTGTTAGAGGTGTTTGGGGAGTGAATCAGTGGATGGAAGATTCATTCTCTCTCTCTCTCTCTCTCTCTCTCTCTCTCTCTGTGTGTGTGTGTGTGTGTGTACACGTGTACTTCTGTCTTCCCATCTCCCTGTCACTCTGCCTTTCAAATAAATAAATATTTAAAAACAAAATGGAATGAGATCTTATTTTAACATAGAATCTTGCACTTAGATGTTCATAACGACTTTTCTCAATGGCCCCAAGTTGGAAACAACCCAATGTCCTTCAACATGGGAATGATATATTGAATACTATATTCTACATATTCAAATACTACTCAGTAATGAAAAGGTGTGAACTTTTGATCTGAGCAAAAGCTTGAATGCATCTCAGTGGCATTATGCTGAGTTGAAATTTCCAATCTTAAAAGGTTATATACTGGGGCCAGGGCTGTGGTGCGGCAGGTTAACTCCCTGGCCTGAAATGCCAGCATCCCATATGGATGCCGGTTTGAAACCCGGCTGCCCCACTTCTGATCCAGCTCTCTGCTATGGCCTGGGAAAGCAGTAGAAGATGGCCCAAGTCTTTGGGCCCCTGCACACACGTGGGAGACCCGGAAGAGGCTCCTGGCTCCTGGCTCTGGATCGGTGCAGCTCCAGCTGTTGCGGTCAATTAGGGAGTGAATCATCGGATGGAAGACCTCTCTCCCTCTCCCTCTCCCTCCCCCCCACCCCACCTCTCTGCCTCTCTGTCTCTCCTCTCTCTATGTGACTCTGACTTTCAAATAAATAAATAAATCTTTTTAAAAAGGTTATATACTGTATGATTCCACTCATACAGCATTCTTGTTGTGATAAAATTATGATACTGAAGAATAGATCAATGATTATGGTATGTTGGGGTTAAAAAGAGGCTGAGCATACCAAGGGATAACACAAAAAGGTTCGTGTTTTGTTTGAGAGACAAGGGAGTGGGTTGAGAGCAAGAAAGCACATGCTCTCATCTACTGGTTGACTCCCCAAATGCCCACAACAGCCAAGGCTCAGCCAAGCCAAAGCCAGGAGCCAGTAACTTAATCCAGGTCTCCCACAATTAATTGAGATGCCACTGTTGCCTCCCAGGATCTGCATTGTCAGGAAGCTGGAGTCAGAAGCTGAAGCTGGGAATTGAACGCCAGAACTGTAATTTGGGATACAACTATCTTAAGTGCTAGGCTAATCACCTGGTCCAAAGAAGATTTTTTTTGTAATGATGAACAGTTCTGTATCTTGCATGTAGTAATGTTTACTTGATTCTATGTACAAGATAAAATTTTGTGCAATTATACGCCAAACAAAAGCTGGTAAAAGCCAATGAGCCCTGTATTTGAATTCATTTCCACATTAGTTTCCTTGTTTTGATGAAGTGCTGTAGCAATGTGTGTTAGTACTGTTGCAGGATGATAGGTGAACGGTACATGGGAACTCTCTATGCCACTATTGTACATTCTTGTGAAATGTAGCAAATTATTTTTGAAAGGTTATAATAAAAACAAGAGTGCAGTACCGTTAGTTGTCAAGGATCTTGAAAAGCTGGAACTCTCATATACTGCTGGAGGGAATGTAAATTGGAATAACTACTTTAGAACACTATTTGTTCAATTTAACAGTGCCATATATGTACATACCCTATGACTCAGCAGTTCCACTCTTAGATATCTACCTACCTGACATTCTTATGTGTTTTTACCAAAATATATGTACAAGAAGACTTATAGGAGCACTATACAAATAACGGTTCATATTTTAATCACATTTGAGTATTATTTAAATTAATGCTTATGATTTTTAAAATGTATTTTATCTGAATATTGAGTTATATATTTCAGATTGAATATTGCAGGCTATATTAAAATAAGTAATTCTTCATACCAGTTCAGTCACTTAACACTATCAGTTTCTTTTTTATTTTAATTTTCTCTAGGGGCAGCTTTGCATTGACCACAGTTATGAATAATAAATATCTCTTAAAATTACACTGCATTATGGTTGTTTAAATGTCTATTGTTTCATCATTAGTGGTATTCTTATTTGCCATTACCAAATTTTTTATCTTCCATATTCTCAGCCAAGCCTCGTAGTACTTGGGATGTGTTAGTAGTTTGATAAGCATGTTTATTCAACACATTAATCTTTGCATTAGTGAATAGATACAAAGGAATTTAGTTTTCTGTGTTATATATTTCTTATTTTCAACAATGTGCTATTATAAATAACAGTGTGAATTCTATATTCTTGAGAATTTGTTAACTTCTGTGATAATATTTTGGCTGTATTCCTGGATGTGTGATACTCCAAGTCGACCTAAAACATGAATTTAATATCTGTTAATTTTTTGCCAGGATTTTGCTTTAGTAAAATATGGTTGGTAAACTAAATTGTAAACTCTTTCACATTATTAGAATTTAGAGTTTCCGTTTGCATTCTAGTATATAGTGCCATAAGTGTAATGGGTCTGGTATTTTATTTATTTTCAGTCATGAAATCATTAAAAATAAGTCTAGGTATAAAGACATTTAATAATGGCTTTTGAGAATTTTTTATATTCATTCAGATATAAGTTGCCAGCAATATATGAATTACTAATCAAATTATTCTACAGTTATCTATTGAAATTTTATTCAACTACCAGCATGTTTGCGAATCTTGATGAAATACCTATAATGTAAGATGAAATACCTATAATGTAAACTGTATGTTTTGACTGTTTTAAGCCAAAAAAAGTATGTGCCAGAAAAAGAAACATTCAGGAAAGGTAGCCTGCTTTCAGTAAAGGTTGTTTCTGGGGAGTTGAACTGAATAATTTTTTTTTCTTGAGACTTAGTTGTATTTTCAAAAACAGTCTTTTTCAAATTGGATATTATTTATATTAAAGTAATATATTTTCAAAGCTTACAAGCCAGTCCTGTGACCAGCGTCTTTCTACCTATGATTTCTACTTTCTGGAGGTAATCAAGTTCAACTCTTGCCAATTATTCTGGTGTTTAATTACTTATGATGTTTACTCCTTTCTACATCCTGTGGTGGGAGTTTGCCCAGATGTACACACACATTTTTTCTCACTCATTTGCCCAATGTAACTTTTCATAATATTTGCCTAAATTAATTTGTACTGTTTGCTTTATTGTGGTCATATAAATATTTTAAGCCATTTAAAAATACTGTGATTTCTTCTGCTTTTTTGTGTACCTATTTATTTTTCCTAAAGTGTTGATTTGCTTTTACCATTTGCTTACTTTTTATGTGCCTATCACTAATTCATTCCCAAATTCTACAGAAATATTATAAATCCTTCTGTTCCAACACATCAAGTAATCTATCAGTTTCTTTTTTCCTTGGACACACCCTTCCCGGAGGCCTGTCTTGTTTTTATTTTAGCAAGTACCTTGCGTCTATCTAATTTCTCTCCGTACATTCATTACACTGTATTATGATTGTTTGTATATGTTACCCTTCTACACTCAGCTTCTTGAGCACTGTCTTTCATTCTGATGTACTTTGTAACCAACACAATATGCATTTTCAAGTTATACATACACTTTCTAAATTTATTCATTAATCTCTAAAAACCTTGAATATTTATAAACGTGATTTCCATATTCATCTTTATTTTTAAATAAGACTGTTTCATTTTCCAGCAATAGGATTCTTCCAGGGCATATAAATCATCCACCTGACTCCTTAGGTATATCTTTATTTTCTTCAGCAAGTAAGAAATGAATTCTCTGATTTTTCTGATTGTTCAATAGATTGCCTTAGGATCAAAAAGTTACAGCATAATTAAAATCTCTGTAAAGCAATAATTACTAAAGTATTTATTCTATATTTACATTTTCAGAGGGCGATTGTTTATCATTTCCACCAAAGCAGGATCTCTTGGAATTAATCTGGTAGCTGCTAATCGAGTAATTATATTTGATGCTTCTTGGAATCCATCTTATGACATCCAGAGTATATTCAGAGTTTATCGCTTTGGACAGACTAAGCCTGTTTATGTATATAGGTTCTTAGCTCAGGTAGGTTTCTAATTTATATTCTTTTTCATATTGAAAGATTGGTTGAAACTGATAATATTTTAGAGATGCAGAACACATACATGCATTACAAAGAGGCAAACAAAGTTGAAAACATCTTTTTTTTTCTTGATTTATGCATAAAGCAGCATAAGTTGATTTTGGCCTGTCTTTGGACTTTCTGATTTATAATTCATTTCTATAATATCAACTTTTTCATGCTCAAATTATTTTATGTGAGGGAATAGATTTAGCATTTTCATGCTAGTTCAGGAAAGTTAATCATTTATAGTTCAGTTTCTTGATGTGCATTGAAGAGCCAGTAAGTAAATCTAATTTGCTTATAGTTGAAAGGGTCAAATTCTCATTGTTTTTTCAGTGGCCACCAGCTATTCTCTTAATTTGAAAAATGTGGATAAATAAAATAAAAAATTAACTTATTTGTAATAACACAATTCTCACAAAAATATGCTTTAATACTCCTTCTAGGAGGAGTATTAAGGGCATTTCCTTTAAATATAAGCCTTGGTGTTAAAATTTAAGAAAATAATTTAAGAAAATTTAAGAAAAATATATGAAATCAAGAAGCAGATATACTTCCATTAATATGGATTTATTGAATCAGGTTGCCCTTTTAACTGCTACATCTATTTTGGGAAGAGATGCTATTGTTCTCCATTTGCCTCTGAATGTGGAGTTTCGAACCAGAGAATAGTTTTTACAGTAGTGCTTGTGCATTTTATCTTAAGTATATAATGTGATTGATAACCTCATTGTGGGTTTTTCCAGTTATTTAAATTTAGAGCTCTGTTAATTCCCATTTATAGTGCTATATATATAATAGATACAGCATTTTACATTAGGTTTCCTTCATGACGTTATAGAAAGTAAGACTTGATATAAGGACAATTGATGGTGGTTGTTGATAGCTTACTATATTAATTACATTGAAAAAAAATTAAACTCTTACATGTCCACCTTGTAGTGCCCACCAATATTTTTGTTCCATGTTCCCTTTATTTCCATTTACCCTGGTATCCACTCTGTTCCTTCCAGCAAGTATAGAAATATATAAAGAATACTTGAATGTATTTTGGTCAGATACTACAGAATAATTATCAGTAAAATAATTTTCTTAATTTGTTATGGTAACTGCTGAATAGATGATCTTTTATTAGAGAATTTTGCTAATGAATTTTTCTTTATAGCAATATATTACCTTGAAATTTTATCATTACACATTAAGTAGTAACTGTATTTCTCCTTGATTAACTTTCATGTTTACAAAATTTATTCGTGTATTGTTCCTTCTTCTTGCAAAGGGAACCATGGAAGATAAGATTTATGATCGGCAAGTAACTAAGCAGTCACTCTCCTTTCGAGTTGTTGATCAGCAGCAGGTTGAGCGTCATTTTACTATGAATGAGCTTACTGAACTTTATACTTTTGAGCCAGACTTATTAGATGACCCTAATTCAGAAAAGAAGAAGAAGAGAGATACTCCCATGCTGCCAAAGGTAAACATATTTAGATTATTAGCTTTAAAAAAAATCAACATGGACCAAGCAAATTTTATAGTTGGTATGAAACCTAGTTATCTTTCTCAATTATTCAGAGAATAAAATTGTATTTAATAAATTTGTCTATATGATTACAAATGAAAGGGTGCTTGATCCGTTCTTCATATAATACCAGAAAAAGTAACATATTCTGAAATACATGCTTCATGCTAAATAAAACTATGCTGTGGCATAGTGGGTAAAGCCAACACCTGCAGTGCCGGCATCCCATATGGAAGCTGGTTTGAGTGCCAGCTGCTCCTGATCCAGCTTCCTGTTAGTGTCCCTGTGAAAGCAGCAGAGAATGGCCCAAGTGCTTAGGCCCTGAACCCACACAGGAGACCCAGAAGAAGCTCTTAGCTCCTGGCTTCAGATTGGCCCTCCTCCAGCCATTGCAGCCATTTGAGGAGTGAACCATAGGATGGAATTTCTCTCTCTCTCTCTCTCTCTCTGTAACTCTGCCTTTTGAATAAATAAATAAATTAAAAACAAAAAAGTTCAGCCCTCTAGAAAAAAGTTTTGAGTAGAAACCTTAAAGGAAATAGCATGATTCTCTTTTAATGTCTAGTAGAGGGCATACATACATAATTTAAATCTACATAAAAATAAACACTCTGTTAATAATTCCTTCTGTTGTAGAGCAATTAAGAATCAGAAAATAGGGGCTGGCACTGTGGCGTAGCGGGTAAAGCCACCATCTGCAGTGCCGGCTTCCCATATGAGTGCCGGTTTGAGTCCCAGCTGCTCCATTCCTTATCCAGCTTTCTGCTATGGCCTGGGAAAGCAGTAGAAGATGGTCCAAGTTGTTGGCCCCTGCACCTGCATGGGAGACCTAGAGGAAGCTCCTGGCCCCTGGTTTTGGATTGGCTCATCTCTGGCCACACCATTTGGGGAGTGAACCAGCAGATCTCGATCTCTCTCTCTCTCTGTCCCTCTGCCTCTCTGTTACTCTGACTTTCAAGTAAATAAATCTTTAAAAGAAAAACCAGAAAATATCCAACAGGTATATAAAAAGGTACTCAAAATCATGAACCTTATCAGAGAAATGCAAATCAAAAACATAATGAGATATCACCTTACTTAGTTTATCATTTATCATTCAGTTTTTAAAATTTATTTTATGTATTTGAAAGACAGTTACAGAAAGAGGAAGAGCCAGAGAGAGAGAGAGAAAGAGAGAGGTCTTCTGTCTGCTGGTTCACTCCCCAAATGATTGCATTGGCCAGAGCTGAGCTGCTCCGAAGCCAGGAGCTAGGATCTTCTTCCTGGTCTCCAGTGTGGGTTCAGAGGCCCACTGACTTGGGCCATCTTCTACTGCTTTCCCAGGTCAGCCGGGACTCAATCCGGCACCAATATATCATTCAGTTTAAACTAAAAGATGCTGCTAACTGTTGATGTAGTTGTGGGAAAAAGAGAACCCTTTCGTGTTGTTGGTGGGGTTGTGATTTGGTGCATCCAGCATTGAAAACAGTATGTATAGAGTTGCTGCAAAAAATTAAAAATATAGCTACTACCTGATCCTTAAGTCTAATTCCTTGTTGTACATCCAGAGAAATTGAAATCAATATTTTAGGAGTGGGTGTTTAGCCTAGTGATGGAAATTCCTACCTCCCATATCATAGTATCTGGTTTTGATTCCTGGCTTTCCTCCTGACTCCATTTTCCTGCTGAAGCAAACTGTAAGAGGCAGTGGTAATGGCTCAAGTATTGAGTCCCTGCTACCCACAAGGGAGACTTGTATCACACTCCCTACACCTGTCTTTGGTCTTAGCTGTTGAAGCATGTGGGGAGTAAACCAGAAGATTAGAGGGTTCTTTTTGGCTTTAGCTCACATTGTCTAGATAGTGCTCCTGTCTCTCTTTGTCTCTTTCTCTCTCAAATAAATAAGAAAAATACCTATGCCATAAATACCATGGATGGCACTTAGAATTTGAAGTGGTATCTGAGCTGTCATGCTCATTGCAGACTTATTCACAATAGCTAAGCCATCAACAGGTGAATGAATAAAAACCTTTGTATATACATACAGTGGGATATTACTCAGGTTTAAAAAGCAGAAAAATCTCCATTTGCAAGAACATGGATGAGAGGCCTGCACTGTAGCATAGCGTGTAAAACCGCTACCTGCAAAATTCAAGTCCCTGGCTACTCCACTTCAGATCTAGCTCTCTGTTATGGCCTGGAAAAGCAGTGGAAGATGCCCCAAGTCCTTGGCCCCTGCACCCATGTGGGAGACCCAGAAGAAGCTCCTGGCTCCTGGCTTCAGATCAGCACAGCTCTGGCTGTTGGGGTCATTTGGGGAGTGAACCATCAGATAGAAGAAATCTCCTTCCCTCTCTCCCTCCCTCCCTCCCTCTTTCTCTCTCTCTCTCTCTCTGCCTCTGTGTAACTCTGCCTTTCAAATAAATAAATGTAAATCTTTAAAAAAAACATGGATGAATCTTGAGAACATTATACTTAGTGAAGTAAATCTGACACAGAAGGACAAATGCTATGTGATGTCACTTACATGAAGAATCTAAAATACGCAATCTTGTAGCAGAGAGATTAGAGTTGGGAGGAGGGGCAAATGGAGAGGCTTTTGTCAAAGAGAACAAAATTTCAATCAGAAAAGATAAATTAGTTCTGGAGATCCGTGCAATGCAGTACCTGCAGTTAATAATACTGCATTGTATGCTTTAAAATTTTACCAAAAGATTCAATCTTACGTCGACGTTCTTACCACTAAAAAATTCATAAAAAGAGTTGGAGGAAAATTTCAGAGGTGATGGATATGTTTATGGCACTGATTGTGGTTATGGTTTCACAAGTGTATATATACCTCCCAAATGACCAAGTTATATACATTAAATATGTATAGCTTTTTGTATGTAACCCAATTTTTTAAAGAGATTTATTTATTTATTTTATTTGAAAGGCAGAGTTACAGAGAGAGAGGGAGAGACAGAGATAGAGAAAGACGTATCTTCCATCTGCTGGTTCACTCCTCAAATGGCCACAATAGCCAGAGCTGAGCCAGGCCAAAACCAAGAGCCTGGAATGCCATCCAGGTCTCCCACATGGGTGGCAGGGGCCAAAGTACTTGAGCCATTTTCTGCTCGTTTCCTGGGCAGATGGATCAGAAGCGCAGCATCCTGGACTCGAACTAGCACTCATATAGGGTGCTGGCATCTTAGGCGGTGGCTTAACCAGCTGTGCCACAATGCCATATATAATACTTAAAACTTTCTGTAGTGTTTCTACATATGTTACCTTAGTTGATGGATGAAATCACTTTTCAGATTGACAAGGGACATAAAGTCATTATTCATGTCTTACAGATGGGAACACACAGACTCAAATTAGATGACTTACTCAAGATAACAGCTAGTAATTTGTTGCATCAGCACTGTACCTCAGATTTCCTTACTATAAATCTATGCTAATTCTACTGTATCATATTGCCTGTTAGAGGCAAATAATCATGCATTGGTTTATTTTTTAAAAAATTCAGTGAAACAATGTCTTTATTTTGATATTTTTCACTGTTATAAAGCAGGTAATATTTTCACACTTGGAAAAGGACATTTAGTGGTAATTTAGTGAAGCCCTTTTGGTTTTTTTAAATTCTGTTTTTTGTTATGTTTTTATTTAGATCTATATTAGTTGGAATAGATTGTTGGCATTCTTTAATATTTAATTTTTTTGAAGATTTATTTATTTGAAAGGCAGTGTTACAGAGAGGCAGAGAGAGATAGATCTTCCATCTGCTGGTTCACTCCCCAAATGGCCACGAACACCCAGGGTTGGGTCAGACCAAAGCTTGGAGGCAAGAGCTTCATCTGAGTGTTGCACATGGGTGCAGTACCCAATTGCCTGTGCTGTCTTCCTCTGCTTCTGTGCTTCTTCTGCTTTCCCAGGTGCATTAGCAGAGAGCTGGATCCCAAATGGAGCAATTTACAAATCAATGCTCATATGGGATGCATGTGTTGCAGACCTGCTATGCTACAAGCCCTGCCCTATTTTAAAAATTTTTTAAAAGATTTTATTTATTTGAGAGGTAGACTTACAGAGAGAGGGAAAGACAGAGAGAAAGGTCTTCCATCCGATGGTTGACTCCCCAAATGGCTTGCAGTGGTTGGAGCTGGGCTGATCCCCAGTCAGGAGCCAGGAGTTTCTTCTGTGTCTCCCAGGAGAGTGCAGGGGCCAATGACTTGGGACCATCTTCCACTGCTTTTCCAGGCCATAGCAGAGACCAGGATTGGAAGAGCAGCTGCCAGGACACAAACTGGTGCCCATATGGGATTCCGGCGCCACAGGCAGAGGCTTTGTGCCACAGCGCCAGCCTGCCCCCCTCCCCAGAAGTTGTGCATATTTTTGGTACTGTGTGATAATTCTATACATGTATATATTGTTTAATGTCCAATCATGGGAAACATACCTATCTCCTCAAACATTTATCATTTGTTTATGGTGTAAACATTGAAAATCCTTTCTCCTAGGGTTTTTTGAAGAAATATTCAGTACATTATAATTATCTGTAGTCACCCTACTGTGCAGTAGAACGCTAGAACTATTACTATCTAGCTGTAACTCAGTACCCATTAAATAATCTTTCCTCATCCTTCCTTCTCTCAACACTACACTCCCCAGCGTCTGGTAACCACTATTATACTCTCCTGTGAGGTTATCTACCCTCTTGTTTTATAGACAGGAAAATTTAGGGTCAGGGACATTAAATGACTGGCCCACTGTTTTCAGCTAGTAAATGTCAGAGCCAGTACTATGCTTGTTCCCTTATTCTTATATAAGAAAATGTTATTTGTACTCATATAGCAAGTAAAGATACTTCTAGGCTAAAATGATAGTTGTATTTATTTTAAAATTGTAATATGATGAAGAGACCAGCGCTGTGGCATAGTAGGCCAAGCCTCTGCCTGCAGTGCCGGCATCCCATATGGCCGCCAGTTCGTGTCTCG